GTGTCCTTTTATGCTCAATAATGAATTGATGCTTTGCAGAGGTGAATTTTTCAGTGACCAAAATACATGTTTGTGTAATGAGCTCTGTATTTGTAATGTCAGAAAAGATACCTGACCCAAAGGTCTAGGCATTGTGCTTTCCAGGCAGTGGTGGTGTCTCAAGGTGACAGTTTTCTTCTCCCAGTGGAAAGAAGCTTTACCACTACATGGAACCCAGGGTCCTATGTGTGGCCACCAATACCTGGGAGCAAATTATATCCTTCCATAAGGTCAGAGTGGACTCAGATGGAATTAGAAGAAACAGCTAATTCTTTTTCCATGAAATAACAAGGGATATGTATACCTTTAACCATATTTCTGTAAAGCAAGCTGTCCACTTGAGGGTCCGGGTTTCCACCCAGACTGGGCTGCCATATGTCTATCACTCTTGTGGGCAACATCAACATCTGTAAAGGCTGTTGGAAACAATAAAGATATGGACAATCATGCTGCATTTATCTGTTTCTCCTCTGAGGAAGGAGAAGGCAAATGAGTGTAGACTGGGATTGAGTTTACTCCAAGAGTAAAGCAGCCCTTTCCAATGTCTGGCTTTGGGGGGGCTGTAGACATAAATCATCAGATACTGCTCTTTGGGAGTGTCTGTAATAAGAAAGATAACCTGGAGGATGACTTCATTAGTGAGCTGTACTTCCATGATAACACAGACTGCTGGTTTGCTGAAAAGCTGAAGCACCCTAGGTCTGAGAAGAGAAAACAGGAGAGGCAAAAAAGTAGGGGACAAGGCTGATAGACAGCAAGAAGGAATTTGGGGAAGTCATCACACAGGAGCCCACAGAGATAGCCAAAGTGGTTGTCATAGAAGATGGGGCCATAGTCACCATTTTATGAGTGTCCTTTGCCTTAGGCCAGTTGGAAGGATGAAGATGGTTCTTAAAAAAAAACAATGTGGCATTAGAGCCACTCTGGTCTCGGATATGGGCTGCTTTCTGTTTGGGGGGCATGTTTGAAGCAGGTGATTCTCAATGACTTTTAATGCCTGGAGTCCCACAAGATTGAAGAAAGACAGACTTGGGTGGAGATGGAACCAGCAGCTAAAAATCTTCTAGAGGAGACAAACTCAGAAGAGAATGGAGATAAAGTAAACCATGGAAAATGAAGATGAAGACAAGGAGGAGGATGGGGAAGCAGTGAGGAGGGTGAAGCAGCTGCTGATGAGTCCATGGGCTGTCTGCCCAGGACTGAGCAGCGCTGGTGAAGCTTGCCAGGGACAACGTGCAGCAAAGGAGAAGAAAGTGTTGGAAGTAGCCTGTGTCAAGACAAAAACTTCCTTTGAGGATTTAAGATGCTACACGTGGACAAAAGGTGAATTGCCTCAATATCACTGTTATGTAAAATAAGTTGGTATTGAACTGAGGTAGCTGCAAAGATTTTCTCTTGTACAGCCCCAATATTCCAGGAGTTCTGATGAGCCCTTAGTCTTTCTCTTCCTGGAGACCCCCCAGGGTAGTGCATTAACCATATCTCCTATTTTCTATATTCGGATGCTTTGACATCTGGGGCCTTGATGACCCTGGAGGACAGCCCTTCCCCAGGCTTAGCCCAGTCCTAGGACAGTGAACAACTCGCTGTTCAAATGCAAACAAACATCCAGAACCCATATCCCAATTAGGCTTTTATATGCCACGCCACTGTCCACCTGCCCTGATCAACCTAGCATCAAGTATTAGACAACTGGTACAGTCTCTATGTCCTAGAGTGTGCTGCAACTACTCAAACCAGTCAATACTAAAACTGCTAATTCTGCCTTGCCCATCCCTGGAAACCACAGTAAATGCTCTAGTTCACAATGCTTTCTCTCCATAGGCCTCCTGGCCAACTTGTTATTTCACTGTATGCACATGTTCCCCCAACCTGCACAGCTCTATCACCCTTGTGGCATAGTGACACAAGGGTGGCATGCCTTCCTCTTGGCTCTGTATTAACCATTTTTTTTAATGGCAGCTACTCATGATCTATAGTCCTTACCATATGGAAATAATAATGAAAACCTACATTAAAACAGGGAGGGTCAGAGCAGTTCTCTGGAAACTAAGTTCTGCACTGGGCTAAAAATGAGATCACCCGAAAAAGGAGAGTGAGAATTTGAATATAAAGAACCCATAGGGAGGGTGTTGCAATTCTAATAGAAATATTTTGTGCTTTTTTTTTTAGAAGTGTTTTCTTTTTACAAAACAAGGAGTTTTTACAAGTTTGAATATTCTGACTCATCAAACATCATCAATGTAAAGATTGTCTCATTTTTTATTTCTAAAAATTGGCAAAAGTTGCACATAGACAGTGTTTTACTCAGGTTTTTCACTGCTGCAATTGAAAGACCCGACCAGAACAATTGTAGAGAAGGAAAAGTCTAGTTGAGGGCTCACAGTATCAGAGGTCTCGGCCCATTGAAGTCTGCCTCCATTCCCTGGGGCTCCTGGAGAAGCTGAACATCACAGCAGAAGAGTGTGGCGGAGGGAAGTGGCTCACATAGTGATCAGGAAGCAGAGAGAGGGGTCTCCACTTGGCAGACACAAATATATACTTCAAAGCCATGCCCCCAATGAACCACTTCCTCTAGCCACACCCCACCTGCCTCCACTTCTCACTCAGTTAATCCTATCAGGGCTGAATTCACTGATTAGGTTAAGGCTATAACCCGGTCATTTCTCCTCTAAACCTTCTGTGTTGTCTCATAAAATGCAAACTTTTGGGGGATACCCCATCTAACTCCTAACAGTAAGTTATCTCTCTTAATTATCTTTAAATTATCTTTAAATATAATTATCTTTAAAAATAATGTGCCTCTTGATTGGGGAAAAATGTATCCCATTTGTTCAGTCTGGAGATACTTTAGGGGGGGATGGGTGGTTAAAGTAGCACTTGGATGATACAGCAGGGACTCCATTCTTTAGGGGATAAGTCTGTAGAGTATGGAAATGGAAGTAAGCAAGGGAGTTCAAATTGATTGCATTGATTTTTTTTTTTCTTATTCCGCTACAGTGCTCCTAATTAGTGGACTATGGAAAAAGAAAAAAAAAAAATACTTCCTGCACCAAATGATGCAATTTGTATAAAGATAACCACTTCTACACATCATTACAAGATCTTCTGAAACCAGCTAATTAGAAATAGGTGTTGGACTCCTGCAGTATTGACTTTAACCTGGTTATTCATCTCTAGAGGGCCTTTTTATAATTGTCCCCAGATCTATTAAGAATACATTTTAAAGTCTTATATTAATATCTGTGTGGATATATTGGGCTTTAAATAATTGCAGAGACTTACATTAATCTAAACTCGTCTGTTTATTATTACCTTTGTTTCCTACATATTTATTACATAGGATCAAGGATTCCGGAAGCCACATAGCAGGTATTCACAACAATCTAATCAAATAGAACACAAATATCTTATTGAATATAAATTAGTTTATTTCATATTAGCTTCTATATGTTTACTTGTAATGCATACAATTAGACTTATTTTCCCAATGACTCATGTCTTAAGTAGGTACAGTCTCCTATTAATTTCAAATGAGAAACATCAGCCCATAGAGGTGTTAGCAGTATACAGCTACACAAAGGAATAATAAGTAGATTTTAAAAAAGAAACAAGTAAGTTATAATGCATATATGGGTAATATGTCAAAATACACTCTATTGTCATGTATTTCCAAAAAGAACAAATTAAAAAAAAACAAACAGATCCATGGAATGGCACCTAGCAGGTGCCTCAGATTACCCTCAAATTACTCTTCCTGTGCATACTCACATAATGAATGAGATAAGCACCATTTCTTTCAAATACATCAAAAGAAATATATTTGGAAAAAAAAGGGAGAAGATTTTATTGGAAAATTTTTATTCAATGTTGCTAAGATATCTGAGTTGAAGTACATGAAAAAAAAGATATTCTGATGGAAAAAAAGAAACAAGTAAAGCCTTTAAAATACAGTAAGTGAAAAATATCCCAGTGTCAGTGTGCATACTAGTCTACCTTTACTGTAATGTACTGGAAATTGAACAAGATGTTTCCAAAATGTATTTGGAGATGCAAATTATCAGAGATAGCCAAGGATAAAGCTAAGAGAATACATGATATTACAATGTATTATAAAATTCAAATGATTAGGAGTATCTGTTGCTACCACTAAGTCAGACAAATAGCTCAAAAAGAGAGTGTCCAGAGAGACACACATACACAATCACATGGTTCTCCACAACAGTGAGACTCTATTACATTGAAGAAAGATCGTTTCAGTAGAGAGTTCTGGATTAATTGAATACCATACTGGAGAAATAATGAAAAAACCTTCCCAACATTAGACTGAAAAAACAGATCTGAAAGGTGAAACAATGAGAAGGTTCTAGAAAAGAATGTTAGAGAACACCTCTATATCTCTAAGTTTAGCAATTGCTTGCTAAAATGACACACACAAAAAAAACACTAGCTATAAAGGGAAACAAATTGATAAAATGAGCTTTTTTATGATTAAAAACATTTTCCCTCAAAAGACACCATTAAGGACAAGAAATGACAAGCTACGGAAAGAAAAAAAACATATGTGATAAGTATATTTAATACACCACTTGCATGCCAAAAATAAAAATTCAGGGACTTACTTGGATATGGATTCAGATAAACCAGTTATTAAAATATATGCTTAGATAATCCAGAAAATTTAACAAGGAATCCATATTAGATTTTATCAAAGAATAATATACTGCTGAAGTATTGTAGTTATAGTTTTTAAAAGTCACTATCTGTTAGAGATATTATCTAATTATTAATGGGTAAAATGATATAATGCCAGGTATTTGCTTTAAAAAAAACTCAGGCAAAGGAAAGAGGTGATGGGTATATGAAATTTGGTAAGCCAATTATTTATAATTGATTCTCTACAAAGTACACTTCATGGTTCACTTTTGAGGATGTTTGAAATTTCATACACAAAGACTTACCCCATCCTTCGCTTTCACCAGGAGATCAAAGGTGGCAGGATCCCTTTCCCTGTCAATATCTTGAGACACACAGATTTGCCCATCGTGTGGGTCGATCCGGAATGCTGGAGGGGCTTCATCGCTTTGGAATCCGTCATAAAGAGAATACTGAACAAAGCCATAGGCTCCTGCATCTGCATCGGAGGCTTTTACCTATGAGATAGGAGATGGATCTGTGAGACGGCAGAAATACTGGCATTACTTTCAGTGGTTTGTGAATTATGATAATGATTTGGACAATCACATAACCACCTCAGCTATTCAGAAAGCACAGGCTTTGATTGTTTCTCTCTCTTCTCCTCCTTCCTCTCACAACTCTGTCTCTACACTTTTTTTCCCTCCCTTAGTAAATTCTCTTTCCTTCCCCTATGCCTATCCCCACATGTTCAAGTGACCTCTCAAAGTCTGAAGTCTGGATTCCTTTGTCCTCTTATTTCTTTCATCATAGCTAAGTGATCTCATCCAATTGCAAAGGCTTAAAAATATCCACGTGGCTGTCAGGACTAGACAACGTACTAGCTGGTTCCCTCTCCCTCCTAGGCCTTCACATGATGGGCTCAACCTGAGAATGGCAAGAGGCCAAAAAAATCAAGGCAGAGTGGCGGCACTGCTGGGAAACCAATAGGGTTGGCCAAGTTCACTCTGGAGGGTGAGCTTTGGGTCTCCCAGGCCGGGTTTCCTTCTGTGCATAAAAGCCAGCACACTGCTCACCAAACAGGTGCACTGACATGAAGCTGGCACTGCCCAGAGGAAAGGCATTTCTTTCTTATCCTGTAAGCACCACTTATGTTAGCAGCAGGCATATGACCAGTAAAAAGGATGAAACAGGTGGAATTACGAAAGCACTTAACTGATTTATGCTAACCGTGTAGGAATACATATATAGTATCCCCCCATCAGGACCCCCTGGTGAATGCCTGAAACTGCACACGTGCTCGCTCTCTCTCTCTCTCTCTCTCTCTCTCTCTCTCCAAATCTTGAGTCTTGTCATTTCATCTTTTATTTACTGGAAAAAATGCACTCCTGTGATCTTTTTTTTTTTACTTTCCTTCAAAGCAGAATGTACTAGGAAATGTGTGACACCATTTCAAATAACTGTTCATGTCACAGCATGTGGCTTTTTGAGTATAATATCATTACCATAAAGAAAGGCAACCAGTAGTGATGCTTGAACCCTCAAGGCTTAGCTGAACCTCCTTTTCTGTGTGGTCAAATTCCAACTGGTTTCCAGAAAGCAGAAAAATAGATGAAGAGATGATTCTTGGAAATAAAAGAAAATTAAGCAGATGATCTCCAAAAGTCCAACATCCAACTAGCAGTTGTTCCAGAAAAAGAGAACAGAGAAAATGAAATCATGGAACAGCTCTCTCTTTGGGTCATGGCAGGACCCCCCAAGTCACTTTGATGTGGGGGGAAGATAGACTAGGCACTCTGGCCTGTTACTTCCTCGGCCTCAAAGTCAAGTCAATTCACATTTCACTGGAGAAAACTAGTTGCATGGCCCCAGCTTGACTGCAAGGGTGACTAGGAAATGCAGAGAAACATCAGGATATTTGATGAATGGAAATAGTCTCTGACACAAGCACCATTAGTTTATAATACACGAAGATAAGCATATAAGATTGTGTAGGTCTTCAAGTAGCTGCTACTTGTAAAATTAAGCAAATGCAAAGTTATACTCAGAATAGTCTCCCCAATACCAACTACTACACTTAGTCTTGGAGACAATTGTGGCAGAGCTCCACATTGTTGCAAGGTTTTGTGGAGGCAGACAAATTCAAAAGATCACCTATATCACCTGTATTTTTAGTATTCCTAACATGCTCATTGAACTTTAGATTTTAAGAGAATCTATTTTTCAGCAGTACAATGTACATCCAGAAGCTACACCATAATTACAGTGCTTCCCAAGTGAACTCCATCCCCAAAACATGTCCAGCAGCGAAGGTCTCAATAAGCCTGTCCCCTCATCTCATTCTATCCTGAGCAAATATCTGGAATGTGACTTTGGGGGCATTTGTGCAGCATAACTCAAAGGTTCAAAGCTAGGAGAAGTCTGCCACCAAGAATACATTTGGCAAAGACCAGAGAACTTTTTGGTTGTCACAATGGGGGATGAGGTTCTACTGACATGTAGTGGGCTGAAGCCAGAGATGCTGCTAAACATCCTACAATGTACAGGACAGACTCCCCACAACAAAAAGTTATTGGGCCCACAATGTCAACAGTGCTTAGGTTGAGACTCTCTAGGCCTGAATGAAAATCCTAATAATTGCAATATATTTATTTGCTTTCATTCATTGTCTATTTTTTTTCAACTGATGAGATAGTTTTTAAAATTTATCTTCACTCTCATCCATCTTACATTCTCTGGCAAAATTTATCCTATGTGAGCTATTTTTTTGTCAGATTGGCTGAACCAGAAAATCCACAAATTTCCTCACTACAAAAAAACTAACCTTCAAATACATCTGGTCTCTTGTGTTCTGACAGCTATTAATAATAAAATAGGCTCAAGTTCCCCAAAACAAATGCATCTTCTAAAACTATATTGGAGTCTCAATAACTTCCACTTGATTGGAAAAAAACTACAATTAATTACATTATAAAAGTCATTCTCGGCCTTTAATAGCATATGTAAACAAGTGCTTTGGCTTATGTAAAACCAAGTTTCCTTATTTTCACTTTCAAGAACTTTTATCTCATCTGGACTTTTGGCAGAGCAAACTATAAGGAATCAAACATGGGATAAAAGTACAGATTTCAATTTATGTTGGCAGTTCACATTCTGAGTTTCAGAATTATAAAATAAGAATGTATTCCTCCCTGTTTTTACCCAACTCCCTAGATACATTAACCTTCTGTTCTCTAACAACATATTTCACCTACTAATACTAGGTCTTCAATGCCTCGAATTAATCTGGAATCTTTATGATGCTTACACTGTCCAATATCTGCTGACTGATGTGTAAAGTTGGGCAACCTGAATAATAGAAAATGCAAATAGCTTTGACAAAGCCTTAAGAGGAAATCTTAATTGGTAAAGATGCTCAGAGGGCCCTTTCTGCAGAGATAGCTACTTAAATCAAAACCAGAAGAACCTGGTCAAACTCTGTTAGTAAGTCGACAGGAGGATTTTGCCCCTGAATCTACTTATAGAGCCAATCCCAGCACTCTCAATGCCATCCTGAGTTCCACAGCTTTCTCTCTCAATTTCCTGTTTTAGGTTAAGATGAAGCTGATGATTTTACTTTAAGCTTATTCTGGTTCAGAACTGTTCTCCTTGAGTGTGATTGCTCACCAGTTTAATGGAGACACTATAAAGATGCAAAATATCACTATGATATTAAGATTGGTCTGATTCCATCTTTAGCTTTCTTACATTTAAATAATTTTCTGCCACTTTTCACATGTTAACATCTAGATAAGGAGGAATACAGATGCTTTACATGGCCATGAGAACACTGGCCCTGATACATGTGTTCATGCTTTTTGAATGAAAAAGCAGAATTTTAAAGCAGAAATAAGAAATTTGTTTTTACACAAGCCAAAACATTTGTTCATATATGCTATGAAAAGGTTGAGAATGAATTTTAGAATTCAGTTCATTGTATTTTTCTTCCAATCCAGCCAATGTTATTGAGACTACCATATGGTTTTAGGAGATCTATTGTTGTCTTTGGGAACTCCAGGTTACTCAATTATTAGCAGCTGTCAGAAAGGACTGGTGTGCATGTCTTTAGGACAACACCACCTCTGCCTGAGAAGGTCTCCTTGTCAGCATTTTTGGTCAGCCTTGTGGAGGGTCTCAGTCATTCACATCAGCCAGACCCAATCCAAAGTCTTAGAGTGACATTTTGTTGGCAGCAGGACTCTTTGCCAAGTCCTAAGCTATCAGATTACTTAATTTTGAAGAAACAAAATTATTGACATGCACATTCATCCATAGAACTTCAAATAGAAAAGAAATCATGAAACAACTTCTTGTATTTTAAGCACTTGGCTGGCCACTAACCCAACAGATAACACAGGACTGTCATATTCCAGTAGAAGTTGGATTCAACATTGAGGAACACAGTGGATACAACATGCCACTCTCTGAATGCAATTTTGCCAGTTCACCAACAACCCCCATCTCACCAAGTTTAGTAATGAATGTTGGTCTTTGGGTTCAGAATCCTTTGGCAGCTTTCCACACAGCTAAGCATCTCCTTATTGAAGCATGTGCCTCTCCAGCATTAGAGTCTGACTGTCCTCCTCCCCATATCCCACTGACCTCCCTCTATTTCCTTACTGTCTGGATGGTCTCACCCTCCGTCTGAACACTGGCATGACCCAAAGCACAGTCTTGGGCTACTTTTCTTTTCCATTCACACTGACTGCTTATAGACGACTAAATGGTAAACTCTTTTAATTCCAGGAACTGTGAATATTACCTTATATGATCAAAGAAAAACTATTACCTTATATGGGAAAAATGGGATGAATTTAAAGATTTTGAGAAAAGATGCTTATCCAGGAATACCCAGGTGGGCCCTAAATGCAATGACAAGTATCCTTATAAGGAGTGGCAGAGAGGCACAACAGGCAGAAGAGGAGGGATAATGTAACAACAGAAGAAAAGCTTGAATTGATGAAGAGACAAAGATGGGTTCTACCCTTGGACCTTGCCAAATCTAGGATTTCTAATCTCAGACTGTAAGAAATAATCGTTTCTGTTGTTTTAAGGCACCAAATTTATGGCAATTTGTTGTGATGGCCCTAGGAAACTAATACACTCCCTGAGTGATGTGTCCCAGCCTGATGACACTAAAGCAATCTGTGTTGATGACTCAATTCTCATTCCTTGTCCAGGCTCATGCATCATCCTACTGACAGTTAACATCTCTTCCTGTATCTCACATGCAACATGCTCAAAGGGAACTCCTGATTTCTAGCACCATACCACCTGAAAATTCGCTAACCTTCCAATCTTTTCAGGTATCCTGCCCTTCCTACTGAAGCAGCCAAAGAGATACTGTTAAATAACACAAGTCATATTACTCTCCCACTCAGAATCTTCTAGTGGCTACCATCATACCCAGTAAAATTCTACCCTTAAGTAAAATCCTAATCGCTGGATACCTCCGTAACCTCATCTCCCTCCTGGACAT